TCTAAGGTAAGCCCGCCTGCCCTCCAAGCCCCCCCCATCCCTGCCCTGCCCATCCTCATCCCCCTCCAGCCTCCTGAAGCCCTGATCCCTGTCCCCACCCCAGCATCCCAAACAGAAAACAAACAAACAAACAAACAAAAACCTCAGCACTTACCGACAATTCAGCTGCTGTCAGGGTCACTGGGGCCCTGCCTGCACAGCACAGGGCAGAAGAACAGCCCCAGCAGCCCCAGCCCAGTCCCTCCTGCCCTGTGCTGCCCAGGGGGGCTCTGCCACGAGGCCGCAGAGCCCCCCCAGTCCCTGTTTCTAAGGTAAGTAGAGGTGCTTTTTTTCTTTTTCTTTTTTTTCTTTTTCTTTTTTTTGTTTTAAGTGACATTGCCTGGGATTGGGGGGCAGCCATGGAGTCTTGGGGGTGCAAATGGGGGATGAGGCTGGGTGGGGCAGCTATCGGGGGGGCTGCAGCAGCTGACATGGGATGAGGCCAGGTGGGGCAGCAATCGGGGGACTGGGGTGGGGCATGTGGGCCTTGCAGCAGGGGTGGTAGCCCCTCTGGGGGCCATTTGGCCCTTGTTGGGGGTCCATATTCCCTGTGTGGGGGCTGTATTCCCTGTGCGGGGCCTTATCCCCTGTGTGGGGCCATAGCCCCTGTTGGGAGGCCATAACCCCTGTCGAGGGGTAGCAAAATATATACTCATGTATTCATAAATTCATGAAACGTGTATTTAAAGTTCACTTTATTATTATGGTAGAGACACTGGTAGGCTTCCACATTGCTTTAACACTGTAGCTATAACAATAAAACATTGTCCAACTGATTTCTGTCTCTGTCTCACTCTCTCTCTCTCTCTTTATAGTGGTCTTTTGTTTTAATTGTGAAGGAACATGGATTTTGGGGTATTTTACAGAATGACTTCAGGATTTTTTTATCAGGGATTTTTCAGTTTTCCAATGGAGGACCCTGCCTGCTCAGAGCTGGCAAGTTGGACCCAGCTGGCTGTGGCTGACCTCCTGGCCAAATGCGGTCAGGAGGACATGCTTTGACAGTTCAAAGCGGGCCACCACACCCAGAACATCTTCCGGGCCATAGCTGCCCAGATGGCTGGGCGGGGTACACATGGCAGTAGTACTGCACAGAGGCCAGCTCTGCAGCCACAGCCCACTGGCAGCTGGATCAGAGAGGCAGACGCCTCTACTGGCTGTGCAGTGCCCATCTGGGTCTGGCAGGTGAGCAGCAGGTCACAGCCAGGCAGCAGCTCCCACTGTCAGACTGCTGCAGTGGGTAGAGGATGCAGAGAACTCTCACTGCTTCAGCAGTCCAGCTGACACAAGGGGTAGTGTCCCCAGGTACCAATTGGCTGGGCCCCAGAAGCTCCTGAGAGTGAGTATCCCTGAGCTACTTGCCAGGGCAGCTTTTTGTACTGATGGGGCCAAGACAGGGCAGCTTTTTACACTGCTGGAGCCAGCATAGGTGCTGGCCCCAGCTGCAGATCTGGGAGGAACCAGGCAGGGTTATTTTGCCCCAAGTGGCACAGTTTGCTCCACAACAAAGTGCATGTCTGAGCACATGTACTGAGGCAAAAATTCCCGGCTCAAATTTGCACCACTTCTATTTGAGCTGCTGCAAGTGCATGTGCTTGCATGTGTGGACACACCCATTAGGTGCATCAACATGACACGTGTACTGTGGAGTTGCCTAATTAACTCCACAGTAAAGTCTCAGAGTATACCTGTGCGGCCATATTAGGCTTATGTAAATAAATAAATGCTGTGGCAGGTTAGTACTTGTCAACACAAGTACTATCCTACAGCAACGTTATTTAGTTTACCGCAATGCATATCTGGATGGTGACAAGGCTGTCTGGGGCCCAAGGGTGCTTCAGTGCAGGGGCTGCCTTCCAGCTAGCCCCACACTGAAGCACCCTTGTGCCCCAGCCAGGCTCTGAGCAGCAAGTTGAGCTGGGTCAGAACATCCCTGGCTAGCAAGCTGACCCCTGGGCCCCCTGCCAGCCAGGACTGCTCTGACATGGCTCACAGTGCTACGGTCCTGGGCACATGTGCAAGCAGCATGCCCAGGAGCAATAAACTCTGGTGCAAAATGCAAAATGCACCAGAGTTTATTGTGTTGTGCTAATTGCACACATAGATATGGCCACTGTCTACACATGCAATGCTATTAGACCACAGCAAGCTAATTTTCACCATGAAAAGATAGTACTGCTGCAGTCAGTACTGTCTTACTACTGTAAAAATAACTGTGTCTAAATGCATGTGTAAATGCTGACCTGGGCACACATTGCCTGGTCAGCTCAGGCAGCAAGGGGCCAGACCCCTGCCTGCCATCTAGCCACAGAGCTCCACATACTGGGGCAGCCCCAGCAAACCCCTCTGCCACCCAGCATCCAAGACGCCAGGGATGACCCCAGTGCCAGCCCAGTGCTGCTCTACCCTGGCTCAAACTGCTCCAGTCCCAAGTTTAGTGTCTGCACATTTGCCCTGGACCACAGAAGTTTGAGCAGCTACATGTTCCATTAAGGCACTGTGATAAACTCCGGGGCACTCTGCACCAGACTTTATCATGTTGTCTTAATGGCATGTGTAGATGTACCCAGAGTTTATAAATGTAATGTTCTGACCACAGTTTGTCACCTATAACTCTTCGTGGAAAATGTTATAAAGTTTTTTTTGTTTTTATCTGTTTTTTTAACTACATACATTGGGTATATGTTTCCTGTAGTCATGAACAGGGATCCTGGTTTTCTCTGTTTAAAAATTGCAAATTTTCTAATTAAAACCCCCACATCCACATTTTCCATGATTAAAATGAAATGCCACTATATATACAAGTATCAGTTCAACCAACTATTTTATTGGTATATTTATCATTTTAAAGCAATCTGGAAGCCTACCAGTGTCTCAGTCACTATAATAAAATAACTTCTAAGTACCTATACATTTTAACATTTGATTTTAAGTTTTTTATCATGGAAAATCAGAGCTCTCCCTGCCCCTTTCACTTACCAAGACACAGGTCCAAGCCCCTCACTCTCAAGCCACAGCTCCCCAGCCCTGCTGGTGCCACTGACTCCCCATCCACAGCCCCCTCACCAACCCTGCTGGTGCTCCTCACTCTCCACCCACATCCCCCCTCCAGCCCTGCTGGAGGGAGCCCCTAGCTGCCAGGGCTATGGAATGAGGGACCCTAGGTCGGCAGCCCCCTGACCCCTGCAGCAGCACCCAAGCCCAGGCTACCTATGGGAGACAGTGGCTACTGCAGTGAAACAGAGAGCAGAGCCTAGCACCCCCTCCCCCATGAGTGGTATGGCCAGAGTGGAGCCCATGGGTAAGCAAGTGCGGGCTGCCCACTGTGACCTTGGGCTCCCCACCCTGCTGCCCTCCCCCCCACAGGGCCTCTGCAGCCCAGCAGGCAGGACCCAGTGCAGCAGGGCCAGGTGGGGAAGCTCATTGCCAATGCTGGGAGCTCTGCCGTGCCAGGTCCCACCCACTGGGCTGCGGAGACCCTGGGGGGAAGTTAGCAGGGTGAGAAGCCTGAGCCCACCCCCCACACACACACCCTGTGCATAGATCTGGGGGACATGTGTTCCCCCTACCCCCTAGGAATAAGTGCAGCAGTAGGGGGGTAGCCCCCCCTAACCCCTGGACAAGCTGCCCATGCCTTCATCCCACTCCACACCAGAACCCTGCAGCCATGCGTTCCCTCCCTGGGCCCAAAGCCCCGTGCACCACCTCAGGCAGAAGCCCCAGCCCTGCCCACTTCCCTCCCTATGGAGGCCACAATCCCTCCTTCCCTCTCCCAGTCTTACCTGTGGGAGCTGCTCTCCAGGCTGCCTGGCATCCATGTGCATATGTGAGCATGTACATGCATGTGGTGCTCCTGCCTGACTCCCCTTTTCCCGCTCCACACAACCCCTTGCAGGATGGAACCCTGCCAGCCTGGAGAGAGCTCTTTGCAAAAGTGAAAAATCCATTGTGTTTGTCTGTTAAAATGAAATATCTATGTTTTTCTCAGTTAAAAGGAAAATCCATGGTTTTTTTCCATTTTTCCACAGGAATCAGAAAACCCAGATACCAGGTCATGAATAATGTAATACTGTAGTCTTTTCTTCTTAGGTGTACTGCGTTCACCAAATTGCCCCAATGGGTTTATACTTTGTGGTTTTTTGGCCCGTAACTAATTATACTTAAGTTGTGATTAACCAGTTAATTACATCTTAACTTGTTACCCATCCACACATTAATGAGATTAGTGGCATAATGAAATAAGGAATAAACTGCAAAATTGTTACATAAAAAAATGTGTAATAACTCTGTGACTGGTTGCAGTCACACCATTAATTGAACATATTGCCAGGCTAGGGCTCCCAGACACGGGAGCTGAGAGCTGGGGCTTCCAGCCATGGGAGCTCCTGGTGCACCCTCTGTGGCTGGGAGCCTCATCAGATGACTGCTCCCAGCCTCAGGGGCATATGGCATACTCCCCATGTCTTGGAGTGTATGGTGTGCCCCCACAAGTGGGAGTATGGTTCAGCTGACAGGAGACTGCATCAGATCTTTATTTGCACATCTACCAATGGCTTTTGGTTAACACTGTTTGCTCATGTAGCTCCTCAGTTGGTTAGGGAAAGTGTTACTATTTTACAATGTTAGACTCATTTATAAAGAGCCATTTCCCTTGCATGAAACTGACCAGTATAGAAGAATGATAGCTCTAAGTTTTTTATGAACTCATCCATGAAGGAAATTAAGTTTACTTACCATGAAAAGAAAGAAGTCTCAATGCCCCATCCTTACTCTTCATGTTCTCCAAAACATGGGGCACTGGACAGGCCGCAGTTGGAGTACTGCATCCGGTTCTGGGCGCCGCACTTCAAGAGGGATGTGGACAGCATGGAGAGGGTCCAGAGGAGGGCCACTCGTATGATCAGGGGACAGCAGGGCAGGCCCTACGAGGAGAGGCTATGGGACCTGAACCTGTTCAGCCTCCAAAAGAGAAGACTGAGGGGGGATCTTGTGGCCTGTTATAAACTAGTCAGGGGGGATCAGCAGGCATTGAGGGAGTCACTGTTCCCCCAACCACCGCCAGGAGTGACCAGGAATAACGGTCACAAGCTGGCAGAGGGTAGGTTTAGGTTAGACATCAGGAGGCGCTACTTCACAGGCAGGGCGGCTAGGGTCTGGAACCAACTTCCAAGAGAGGTGGTGCAGGCTCCTACCCTGGGGGGTTTTATGAGGAGGCTAGATGAACACCTTGCTGGGGTCGTTTGACCCCAGTACTCTTTCCTGCCATGGCAGGGGGTCGGACTAGATGATCTGCTAAGGTCTCTTCCGACCCTAGAAACTATGAAACTATGAAACATAAGGGAATACTGCCTTTTGTCCCTGTTTCAATTGCTCCATGCAGTCTTTATACTTCACAGCTCCTTCCAGGATCCAGTAGGGCCATAAATTCATATTTTTAAGAGTGGTTGGTATTTATTGTTATCCTTGTTATTTGTAATAGGCACTGGAGAAGCATGGAATAACATTTTCTTTTCTTAGCAGTTTGATTTTATTTTTTCCCATTTAACCTCTTTTTCTAATTAGTGCTGAATTTAACATTCATTATAAGTTTGTTTTCTGGATAATATTTTAGCATTACTGATACCATCATTGCTCTAATAATAGGCTTTGCTGTTATATTACCCTTAATACACAATACATTTTACAAAAATTTTACATCAGATGAAGTGTGAGAACCAAAGTATTTGACAATGTTCAAGTAAAGTAGTTAATATTTACAGATATTGCAGTACAGTGACAAAAAGTCATCTGTCTGCTTCTCTGAGAATCCATTGGCATTGCTACAAATAAAAATACACCAAAGAACAAATCAGCAGCAAACAATAAAAAATGCCTGCTAAAAATCATCTCAGCACAACTCAGGTGAAATTTAATACCAATACTCCATCCTCTATTAGATAAGCATCTTACAAAAATAT